TAAAATCCCAACAATCAAACACTCCTTTAGAGCAAACACTTGGCAATAGTGGAAAGAAAAAACTCCCTTTTAACAGGAAGAAACCTCCAGCAGTACCAGGCTCAGGGAGGGCCAGCTATCTGCCACGCGTTGGGTGTGAGCAGAAGAAGACGGGACAAAAGACACACTGTGGAAGAGAGCAGGGGAGTAATAATAAGTAGTTAAATGAGGAGTGGTGCGTGTGTGTGTGTGAGGACACAAAGAGTGTGAAGAACAAACACTAAGCATAACTAAGGACGGATTCAGGATCACCCGGTCCAGCTCAATCAATTTGTGGATGACAAGATTGGGATTTTTCCGCTCTAAAACATTGTAGGTTGACATGTTTTGTTACACAACTGAGCCAAGTTGTGCAATTTTGAGCCATATTATACAACAGCATGAAAGGTGCATTTTAAATGAGATCTTAACACAGATGTTAGTGGCCTGTATAGGGGACGGACTCTAAAGCCAAAGATAATGTGGCTACTGGAAAAATGCTGACTGAGCCTTTTTTTCAGAGTCACTCTTTGAGTTTTGTGGGTTGTTTTGAGTATTTTTAAGTAATTTATCATGGCTGGAAAGTGACTCGGTGAGTTTGTGTCTTGATCACAAATGACACAAATGACGTGATCTCAACATAATGAGATCGCGTCTAAGTTGAGTCAAGCCTGACCTTTACTTATATTGTCATGGATCCCAGTCTGTAATTTTTCCATTAATCCCTCTAACAAAAAATATAGAGAAATATTAAAACATTTTCATAGCTTAAATGATCTGTATTCATTTACACACTACTACTTGTGTTTTGAAGGTATGGTCAAAAATAACTTCTAAATATATACACAGCAATGAAGTACTAGAAAACGTTTCTATTTATTACGATTAAAACAAGTAAGCTATATCTACAAAGTGTGACAATATTCCATTATGCCCAATTAGATTTTCATGATATTGTTCATTTAAAAGAAACAGAATAAGGTACTGTACTGCGCTCTTGATCTGCAGACCAGAAGCTATTAAAGTCCGACAGGCACAGGTGAACCTGGAAGCATTTTAGAGGATAATCTGACATGCATTCTTTAAAAAAAATACCAAAAAGTAGAGGCACGCCTCCTCACTGCTAACCTTAAAGGTCACTGCATGTTGAAGGTTCCTGCTCATTTATTCATATGATAGGGGATTGCTTACTTTTACAATGAAGTACCTCTTATATTATCCAGACTCTTGGCTGTAACAGTACACAGGACCACATGTAGTTTTCTTTTATAACTTATCATCACTGTGCATCTGGAAACGCCAGAGAAAAGATCTATTAGCTGGGATAACTAAGAGGACTCACTAAAAATGTAATCAGGGTAATCACCGAGCACTGGATCTTCTATTTCTTGGAGAAAATAAATGTGAATGCTGCTGCTAAATCAACTATAAATATTTGGTGTACAGCTGCTGTATCTCTTTGTATGTAACCCCAGTATGACCTCAGCAGTACTGCTCATAGTATCACAGTATCATAAACAGGCCTGCGTTATCATTTTGTTCTTTTGCAACATTAACACAGTGACGGCAAATCCTCGAAACTGCCCAGAGTATCACTAGTTCAGACCTGAACTATCCAGAAGTTGCATAAATGGATAAAGATCTGACCTTGCTTTTTTTTTATTTAACTACATCCTTGGCATTTAAAAATAATGTGAAGCCTAGCTGATGGTGTCTGTGTTCATTTCAGATGGAATACCTTTTAAGTCTTGCTAATTACTGTTCGACGTTAATATTTCTTCATCCCAAGCGAATCCGCGGTGAATTACTGCTACCTTTAAAATTACTATTCATTCTAGGGTATGATCATACTTTTTCTGACCCAAAGACTCTCAGCTCAGTGGATGATTTAGGACAGATATGGAGATGAAGAAGAAATGGACATTATCTGGAATTGCTCGCAGAGAGTTTTTAAATCACAGGCACTGACTGCTTGCCATCTGCGTGAATACAATATGACTTCCACCTAACTGAAATATTCATACAAGTGAACAGATGGCACCCTTTGCTCTGCTCCCTTTTCTGGTCCCTTATACACTTTCATCTTGCTTATGAGTTTGTAGACATCTTATGTGTGGGGTTATGTGTGAGCGCAGGTGTATTTCATGGCCTTGGCAATGCATGCAGACCTTTTTCACGATTCACGCAAAGCACCGCTTACCAACGCCGAGCGAAAGAGGGGAACAGGAGTTTCACACTGTGCTCTTTAAATTGGCAGCTTTTAGCCTCAAAGGCAGCACTGTCTGGCATTCATATTGGCCTTTCATCTCCAAGTAATCTCCACACTGCTCTTAATTTGTCAATCTTTGTTGGATTTTTACTAACAGGCGCTGCAATATTATGAGTCAGATAGTAATGGCTGAAAAATTATGAATTCACTTCAATCACAAAGACATAACCCAGAACATCTTCTTAATTGATCTCATTTGAATTCACTTTTATCTAAATGGTGAGCATCTGAGCAGCCTGTGCTTGTCGCTAATGAATATGTAATCATGCTAGTTCAGCCTTTTTAGAGGTTACTGATTAAAACTGAATAAAGTGGTGTGCCCACAGCATCACAAAATGACAAAAAACTTCAGTTGTAGTACATCACAGAGAAAAAACACATCAACAGAAAGGAAAACTGGGTGAGACACACATGAAAAGCTAAATGACAAAAATTAGTAAGAGCGGTGTTTTACATTTACATAGACTTGCAAATCACAAGAGATGGGAACTTTACTATTTGAATGTGTATATTTCTCATCCTTTCCCCCCCATTTTATTATTATTTTTTTCACCTTTTTTCTCATTTCTTAAAGTTGATTCCTAACCTGCAAACCCCGGAGGGGACACTAAATGAAACAAAGAGACAAATTAGAGAGTGTGAGAGAGACATTCATTCATTTTCAGTATTGACATCTGTCTAAAATGTTTAAATATGACTCATTGATTCTGCATGAAAAGCACTGTGTGCACATCTATGTGGCTTTATATAAAAGGAAAAGAGGTGCGAGGAAGGCAGATGTCATATTGTATGAGTCAGATGAAAAGAAAAAAGAAAAAGATGAGGTATGCTTAAATGGGTCAGAAGCTTCCACTATGAGGATCCTGCTACGTTCGCTTTGACATTGAGTTTCTAATTAAAGAGTATGTAAATATTTTTTGTATAGGTCAAATGTTTTGAAAAAGTGCATCTTTAATTGCTTCGTTTGCGTGGGACATTTAGACGTGACAAATATTTGGAAATAAAGTGAGGAACTCATACAGATTCATGAAGATGAGCACTCCATTAGCAGAGGACAGGGGTTTTAATTTGTAATTGAAATAATGAGAATCAGTGGACGGAGGAATAACAATCGTGCAACAGCACAGAAATAAACAAAGGCGCTTTATTAGCGTGTGACGCTTGCCACAGTCCTCCACACAACTGTTAATTACGGTCTCTGAGTCATCCATCTGAATGTGTTCGCAGCACCTTTATAAGTCATTTCACAGTCAAACAAAGTGATAAAGTCTGTTTTCATCATGAGTGGAGAGATAATCAAACACTAAACAATCACTTTTAAATTCCCTTTTTGAACAGAGTGCTTGCAGGTGTGATCATTTCTTATTTAACATGCACAGCAGATTTGCAGGATATGCTGTGTATTTGTGCTGACTAGACCATCACTGCAGGCAGTGCAGTGCCAAACATTTTCAAGCTCACTTCTATCTTTCATCCACCCAAAAAATCTACTCGATTCTGTGGGAAAGTTTAAGAAAATCATCAAATCTGTTTTTATGGATTAGCATTTATTTTTAGAAAAATACATTAACTGCCAATACTAGCCATTTTTTTCAACATCTGAAATATGCATTTTCATTAAAAGAAATGATTAGAGAAGCTTCATAGAACAGCAATTCTTAGCAAATTTGTAAAAGCGCTCAGAATTTCAGGTGGAGGGGAAAAAAATACTCTCTCCTTCGAGCCGGAGTCGAACCAGCGACCTAAGGATGTCTGGGAAACCACTACAGTCCTCCGCTCTACCAACTGAGCTATCGAAGGGAGCTGACGACTACAGCTAACCCATGGGTATTTATAAGATCGGCTCGTAAAACGCTTTATGCTCTGCTTCTGCATAAAGTCACAAATATGGCGGACGCCCTGTTCAGTTAACGTGTTTTCGGGAAATTTGCATTCGCTACTGTTTTCCACTTGAGCTAAATGGTTGTGTGTAAGAGTTTCCCCACATATCTCAAGTAACTTGGTGTCCCCCAAAGGAACTTTAACATTGCAAGCCTTTCAATAACTTAGCAGCTATTAAACCCTGTTATTATTCATATTCGTTAGAGCTAACCTAGACAGCTTAATAATGCTACCTTACCGCACTGTATTTCGGCATGATATGCGAAATATATCAAACACTACACCGCAAGATTGGACCGACTACGTATCTGACGAGCAATAAATACACAAACAACGAGTGACTTCCGTACCGGGGAATTAGCTCAAATGGTAGAGCGCTCGCTTAGCATGCGAGAGGTAGCGGGATCGATGCCCGCATTCTCCAATAACATTTTCATTCAATGTAAGGCCTTTAACATGCTAACAAACACCAAAATGTTTTAACTGAATTGTTCTTTTCTGTTTTTTAAAATAGTAGCAGTTATCACCTACATTTAAGGATGCGGTGAATACACCCAATGTTATGGTTGTCGTCCTTATGCTGTTCTCTAAGTGTAAATACCCATGTGCAAAAAACGCTTAACACATGCCATAGTTTGTTTAATGCTAGGTATAATCACGATCACTCCTTTAATTAGGAACTTAGCCAGCGAACCTATTATTGTAACAAACCTCTCCTGTGCGCTGTTATCTTCCCTCTAACGTAATGGTCTGTTCCAAACTTTGACGGAAGTCACATTCGATAGCTTCCTGCTGCTAAGTTAACATTAATGCAAAGCTGGCACTTGATTGGCAACATGGTAAAAAGGTGTCGAGAACTACGTGTTTTCAGTAGAGATTTTCAGATGCTATCAATAATTTTAGATCTAAAAGTCACATGGGTCATATGATTGCATCTCTTGCTAAATCACTCGCCCCCACCCTATGAAACGCATAGCTACATTGCACCCAGCGTAGAAGAGGCTGGGGATGGGCTGCTGTTCAGCACTGCCCTACTTAGTTTCAAATATGGACAAGGCAAAAATGGCAACCTTAGACGTGACAGCAGTAGCTGCTAAAAACAGAACTGACACAGAGGAGATAGGAGTCTACACCCTCTAGGACAAACATAACAGGCCTACTACTTAGCCTGAAGCTGGGCCTATGATAGACTGCTTTTAGAAAGGACTTCATACTAAACTTTTCAGACTTTTTAAGTTGTTTAGTTGTGTTTGAAATCGTTGACACCATGGACAACTTGGAGAAACAGCTGATTTGTCCAATATGCCTGGAAATGTTTACAAAGCCTGTGGTCATCCTACCCTGCCAGCACAACCTGTGCAGAAAATGTGCCAATGATGTTTTCCAGGTAAGCTATTGAATGGCTCAAATTGGTAATTATTTATAAAGTTGGTCTGAATTTTCACATATCAAAGACCCAAATAGTGACATAAATTTAACACCCATAGGCTCTGTTTACAAGCATGTGGACTGAATGTTAATGATGGTGGTTTGAAGTTTGTGTTATGGACTGTTAATCCCCTGGATTAATATTTCCTAACTGCCGAGTGAAACAATGTAATTATTCAGAGCTTCACTTGTTGTTTACAGGCTTCAAACCCGTACCTTCCAACAAGAAGCGGCTCGTTGACCTCTGGTGGCCGTTTCCGATGCCCGTCCTGCAGACACGAGGTGATTCTGGACAGGCATGGTGTTTACGGCCTGCAGAGGAACCTGTTGGTTGAGAATATCATTGACATGTTCAAACAAGAATCCAGCAGGTGAGACAGATCAGACATTTGTCAAAATAACAGAAAATGAAAAGAATTCTTCATGTCTGACAGGAGGATGTTTTCATTTGTGAAACTGCAGTAAAGTATAATAGCAGGAAGTGAAACACTGGCTTCTGAGTCAGAGATCTGCAGTGGGTGAGAGGGCATTTCTACTTGCAGTAGTCATCCACACAGATTTTTTTATCCAGCAGATGACTGAAAGGCTTGTATGACATGATATCCACAACACTTCTTGCTGTTGTGACATTATTTCATTACAATTATCCTGAGTAGAGTTTATAGGATGACCGAGATGCTTCTTCAGTTCTGAAACCAAAACGTAGAGAGTGCCAGGTATTTAAACCCTAATGGGGATTTCCCCTTAAGAGGAGATCGTTGCCTGACTAGTAGTCATGTCCATCATCACACGAGCCAAACTGGGAAGAAAGCAGTGGGTCGTTACCACCTGAGGCTTCAGATGAAATCACTGTGAGATCTTGCGTGAGACCACATTATGTGACCCGTTGAGTTCACCCGATGCAACGTGTGAGTGGATGTTGAGCCGCGTGGGAAACGGATCTCGAGACTGCATTGTAGGTGGTTGACAGTTGGTGTAGTTAATGATCCGTCATCGTCTTTTAAACCATCTCCTCGGTCTAAAATGTAAACATTCGCATCCCCCAAAGAGTTACCTTTATCCTTAAAAACAAGCAAATGTAAGGTTTTGGAACCACCTACTCAAAGTCAGGACCTTAAACAGGTTGTTCGTGCTCAAAAAACCCTTTTAAATGTGTTTGAATTAAAGCAATTCTGCAAAGAAGAGCAGGCCAAAATTCCTCTACGGTGATGTGAAAGACTCATTGTCAGATATCGCCAAAAGCTTTACGATTACTTTTTCACACAGGGCAGGTGCATTTGGATAAACTTTTCACTTAAAAAATGAAATCATTATTTAAAAACTGCATTTTTTATCTTTGTCTGATGGTGTGACGTATAAACTTAAGAAATAAGGAAGGGGGGAAAACTTTTAAGCTATATAAACATGAATCATGTATGCTTGCTCCCACACTACTCAGCAATGATGATGACCTATTGATTACAGTGCTGGCAGTGCATGTGAATGGCAGGGCACACCTGATGGGTCATCGATAAGCTGTTGAGATGCCGAGATGTGTAACAGTGACATTATCAAACTGACACTGCATGTCACATCAGTATGCAGTCAAATGTGCAGCATCACAGGACACTACTGCTGTTTTCATCGCACCTCAACAGCAGCAAACCAGCACCAGAGAAAAAGGAAGAAACGCCCATGTGTGATATTCACGAGGATGAAAAGATCAACATTTACTGCGTGACCCACGGTGTGCCCATATGCTCCATGTGCAAGGTCTTTGGAGCCCACAAAGACTGCGAGGTGGCTCCTCTCAGCAGCATCTACCAGACGAAGAAGGTGAGGCCCGAGATGCTTACAAAGGCTACGAATACTGTCAGCCATGGTGATGTGTTTTTTACAGTTTCATCATGAAGTATGTCGTAGTATAATCATAGATTTGCCCCAGATTTGAGTCTGTAGTCATGCTGTCGTGTCCTTGCCCCCTAGACGGAGCTGAGTGACGGGATTGCCATGGTGGTTGGTAACAACGACAGGATGCAGGGCATCATTAGTCAGCTAGAGGAAGCCTGTCGTGCCATAGAGGTCAGTGTCCGACTGCTGCAGTGCCTGGCCGCTCACTCACGCAGCAAGCCTCACTCCGTGCACACACTAATGCACCTGCACAGACAACCAAACTGATGTAATGTGTCCTTGTCACGGCCACTCTTTCTGCTTTTATCCATCTGCGAGATTTAGACAGAGAGGCAGTAAGAGGAAAATAAATGTTTTGGTTCCACGGACTGCTTTAATCTCCCCTTTTCATATTTTCTCCTACGCTGGGTGCACATACACTAGTTAGAGCACCCTATTCTGCCTTCGACCCACTTCCACGGACAATAAAACGAGCAGTGTAATTGATAGGGCGAGAACAGGCAGCTTTCTTATGGTTCACGTGCCACAGTTGGATGTAGTAGAGAGGAAGCTGGAGTGACTCCAGTCCCCTGTGTGTCACTGCTGTGGCGTCATGCACATGGCACCAACTGAACGGAAGGAATTTTGCAGTGTTTAGACATCCGAAGAATGAAAACAACAACTAGTTACCGCATTTTCTCTCATTTTGAAATTCTAATGTACTTCGAAACTGAATTGCCTACATTTCCCACCCAGAACTCATTAATAAAGAATGGACCTGCAGAATTTACAATCTTTCCCTGTGGGTGTGTGCTTTCTTCACTTGTTCACGCACGTACAGGAGAACAGTCGGAGACAGAAGACTCTGGTTTGTGAAAAGTTTGACCACCTGTACTCTATCCTGGAGGAGAAAAAGAGGGAGATGAGTCAGAAGGTGACAGGCGAACAGGAAGAGAAGGTAAACTATATCCGGGGCCTGACAAGGAAATATGGAGACCATCTGGAGGAGAGCTGTAAAATCTTGGAGATGGGGATCCAGACTATGGATGAGCCAGAAATGGCTTTATTCCTGCAGGTCAGAGCTGCTACCACATGGGGTTTAAATTTGACATAATTTTAGCCAATTCATAAAAGTTTATCAGTATTTTATGTGCATGTTCAGTTGAACTCTCCCTTGTGTCTTTCAGAACACAAAGCCTCTCCTCAAAAAGTAAGTATGCTGTTTGTTTTTCAATAATAATAATTGCACTGGTAAGAGGATGAAGGGGTTTTGCAAAAAAGAGAGAGACTACACCGCCAGTGTAAAAGTCAAAATCCTTTCTAGCTAATGTTTTTTAATCATTCTCATGAATGAGTACATCTGCACTTACACATAAAACCAGAACTCTAATAGAGCAAGGTCACACCTTCCCTCTGGTAGCTGTGGAAAATAATCCTGTGAAATGTTGCAAATCACTATCTTCTGCTGTGGCATCCTGAAATAACTTGTCGAACGTGCTAAACATCACAGATTGAATATATTTAAGACGTGTTACCATGACTTTGTGAGGCAACATTTAGTCCTGTGAATATCCTAAATGAGACTTATGTGCTCAGGATTGAAGAGGCATCCAGTGCAGCGCACCTGGATAAAGTAGAGCTTGGCTACGAGAGTATGGATCACTACAAAGTCGACTTCAAGAAAGAGGGCAAGGCCCTGCGGAGCATCGACTTCATCCAAGGTAAAGGAACAGAGATCGCGGCTTTAATTTGCTTCACACCCCTCAGTGTTGTAGTTCTCTAACCTTCATCCTTTTTTGCCTTAATTCTCACACAGATGACAAAGATGAGGATGAAGAAGATGAGGCTGCAGGAGCCGGTGCTGAGGAAGGAGAAGGATCACAAACTGTTCCTGGAGGTGCTGTTTCAGCCACCTCTGCCCAGCCTTCTGCACCCCCACAGCAGATGAGCTCCTCCCCCAGCGCACCCACGAGCACTCCCTCAACTTAGCTGTCAGCCATCGGCCCTGACAACACCTAAACCAGAAGCAGGATTGATTGTTGCTCCTAAATGTTGACCTCAGGTCAGCTGTGATACATTTTTAGCCACGAGGGGAACCTAATCTGTGTATGTAGATCTTAAGGAAGGCAGAGATGTTTTACTTCTGCCTCTTTTGTTGTGATTGGTCTATCACAGCATTCGGACTGATTTAATCTCTTTTTCTCTTATTAAAAAAAGATGCTTTAGTTCCTCCTTTTCATTTTGAACATGCTTAATGACAGAGGGACTTTGACTGTCATTCAGCTCTTTGCAGAATTCAGATGTACTCAAATATTTTTTTTATGTGGTTGACCTTTTGAGACTTGCTCCTTAAACTCCATCATTAAAAAAACATAATAGGAGAGCCGCTGGTTCTCCTCCCTGTTGTATACTTCTTGATGACTGATATAACTCTGTGAGTAATGTAGCAGAGTGATAAAATGAGCACTGTGACATTTCAGTATTTCCTACATCGGGCTGCTTGCGTTATGTTTAATATTCTTCATTGTAATGTGGCACAGGTATTATTTCCCATGATGATATATATGATACATGCATATTATATACATTAAAAATGATTTGACTAAATACCATCAGCATACTTTTTCACATCGCTATTTGACACTAGATGTAAAAAAACAGTTTTGTTTCTTCGTAATGCCTTCTCTCTCCCTCCCTCTTCGTCTTTCCACACTCCTATTGGCATATTTCCGTGGAAGGAAATCCAGCTCAATGCGTGAGTGCCTTTTTTTGGCTTGTTCAGACATTTTTAACATCCTTCTCCACTGCATGATCAGGATAACACTCCTGCATATACATATGAGACCACAGTGAGCAAATATGAGTGCTCCCATATTTTTAGACCAAAGCAAATAATTTGCTGCCCTGCGATGGCCTCACGTTGCTGTAACTCCACCGCTCAGGTAGTCCACCATTCAACGACCATCTGTTATTTTACACCGTGTCTCGGTGAGTTGGATCCTTTACAAATGGGCTCAATCCCACACTAAGCCTCAAGATGCTTCGCGGGCCAAAAAGAATAGGATGACTCACACCCACGGCTCTTGTTTAGCGTAGCCTGACACTGGGGGTCAAGAATCAGCGTTCACATACACACGCTCACACATAAACACACACACACAGTGTCTTCGACACTAATTAGCTATCAGTGGTGCATCTTTGAGCTAAGCGTGGTTGCCTCTTGCTGGTATAATGAGAATTGCCTCTTGAGGATTAAGGGTTTGGAAGAAGAACGCTGTATGAATGTTCACTGCGCTGAAGGGTTGTTCAGATTTTTGGCAAAGTACTGCAGTTAGAGCTTTTTTTGTGTGCGTCTGTGTTAGACAGAAGGCATGAACTGGCTCCAGAGCAATGCCATGGTTAGACCTATGCAATTGTGTGCACTGAGTTAGGCAAACCTTTACCAGTCAGCATTTATAGGCAAGACTCGAGATTCTGTGGCCATTTGTGCACTCTTAAAGTTGTTATTTACTTTTTTTTTCAAAGTTTCTTTAATGTGGGACTACAAATCCATGTGTTAAAAGTCATTAGAAAAGTGCGTTTTAATCAGATTACTAGTCAAAGTTAATGGGATTATTTATTTATTTTTATTGGCGTTAGTGTTAACTAATATGTAAGGATATCCACAGAGAAATGTAAGCATTGCTTTTATTTTTTTTTTTATTAAAAATATAGATATAAGACGTTCTGTTGCACAACAGAAAATGACTGGTTGCACATAAGTTTATTAACAAACATAAATTTCATAAATACAGTGATTCATAATCTAAAACAAAATGCCAATTTTGTGAATGCAATTCATGTCTTAGACGAAAGTATTTCATCTCAAATATGAAGAACGGCATATCTCTACAGATCTGACACCAACATTGAAATGGCAAGGTACAATCGGCTCATTATAAGTCAAGCCCGTTTATGCTCCATAGTTTGAGGTTAAAGCTATAAACAATAAAGTGATAAAGCAGCACTATATTGTACAGAGCATGTTTTGTGCTGATGGCAAAAATGCACAACAGAAGGAGTAAAAGAAAAAGAAAGGGAAGGGAGATCTTTGGCGGGCTGGGAAATCATTTCCCGAAGAGCTCCATCATTCTTCTGTTATTCTGCGCTTGCTGAGCCAGCTGTTCCGCCCTGGACATCTCCATCATCTCCCGGAGCAGATGGAAGGTCAGATCCAGGGATATTGGCGGGTCCTCGGACCTTCTTCCCCTCTCCATCGAGTCGTCCCCGCGGTCTCCGAAGCCGCTTATGAGCGCCCTGATGTTCCCAACTTTACCCTGTAAAAGACGCCGCGTCAGCTGGAGTTGCAAAGCTCTGTTGAAGATGGAAGGTGATCCGCCGGGATACATGGACGTTGATGGGAAAGAGTTCGAGTCCCCGTTGCCCAGTCGGATGAAATACTCCTCCCCAAGCCTCTCCAGAATCGGGCCGGATTGCAGCTGCTGGGAGTTTTGGGTTTGTAGAGCTGGGACGCGCAGAGTACTGCCAGGGCTCTCAATAGCCCGACATTCGTAGCGCGGTAAGAAGGCAACTAGCAGAATCACGGCGGTACCGAATAAATTGAGCTTCATGTCAGGATTTCAACAGGAATCTGGGAAGAAAAAGAAATACATTGGGTTATTTAATTTTGGCACGCTCGTTTTTTTTGCTGTGGCGCGAGATGTGCCGCGTAAAAAGGCAATTACGCACGTAAAAGAGACGTTGCAATAATGTAACGGGCAAATTATAACTATTGCTGCCGCAGTTTATTTTTATTATTGTAAGATATTTTGCGATCTGTTGCCACCTGTTATTAGTAAGGAGACTATATATTGTACAACTGATCAGCGATGTGGAATATTTACGCGTAAAGGAAGCTCGAAGATTAGAATGAGGAATTATTGTCTTCTATCATTATACTTAGTCCATCCCCAAAAATGAAATCAGAAATGAGAATAGAAAGGTATCAGCAAAGCCAAAAATCCACTTTATCATCTACAAATCCACTTTATCATCTACAAATACAGTTTTTAAATGTTTGCTGTGAAGCACAAAGAAGTCTTTAATTAAGCAAAGTCGCATTGAGCTGTGCTTGGGAAAAGAATAACTAAAATGCTAAAAGAGGGAAAAATACGAATTCAAAATGTGGGTAAAATTAATGAAACTTTTCTTACCTTCAGGCTTTAGAGGTGGTCCGCTACAGCCGTGTAGGTTGCCAGGTAGTTGGCGAGATGCCGCCCTCCTTCACTTCACTTTGAGGAATCAAGTATATAGTTACTTAAAGGATAGATGCTGAATGGACTTATATAGCCACCCTCACTATAAGTGTCGCGCTCCAAGCTGAGATTGAGTCTGCGCGTTCTTGCATGGGTGTAACGTGAATGGACGCCTCTGACAAAGTGCTTTAGTTTAGATGAGATGAGTCATATGTGAGTGCGCGCGCACGTGCACGAGCGTCTACCTCGGCGCTTTCAGAATAGGCCTATAGGTGACACACCTGCCGGCATTTTCACTTGAGTTTGTTAGTTGAAAAATAATTCCAAGGGTTTTGGACTCCATGTGGCAAATAATCAGAAGTTAAAAAGTAATATTTAGACGAGATAAGTCTGGAACTATGTTTTTTTCTTCTTATCAGTCACTGCTCATTTTCATCATGTGTCTTATAAAAGACAAAGGGAAAAAAAACCTTCCTCATCTGAGGACACCATACAGTGACTGCTATTGCCTACAAAATTGCAAAAGTTATGTAACACTGTGGAAGTGCGGTAGTTTCAGGTATGACATTTTGGTGCAATCTTCAGGACTCACTTTGTCTCTGCATTTTACACCACAAGTATTCCAAAGCAGTTTTCCATCTGCCCTGTGTTGCATTCAGTGAAAGTGCATTTGCAAACACATCAGGCTGGGAGAGAGAGAGAGGTATTGTCTCCCAGTGATTCATTGCTGCTGCACATATATACGTCACCACCTCTTCCAATCGGTGCCTTGGCCACCTTGCTCCAGAGGGGCCCACCGCCAAGCCACACTTGCAAGATGAAGCGCTTATCCGAGTATTAGAAAAGCGATTAGAATGTTAAAAAGCTCAAATCTTTAACTTTGTGTTTCTGTCTGCTTTACCTGCTTTACATTTACCCAAACATTTGTGCAATACCTTAAAACAAGCAATTCCTCCACAATGGCAGATGATTTCTTTTCAGTTCCATTTGTTTATTAGTTTGTCTGTAAGCAAGTTTAAGTAAAAACAACCTGGCTGAAATTCATGAAACTTGGTGGAAAGTTGGCTATTATACTTTGGTTGGATCCAGATGGCCTTCTTTTAAATGATGAGCTAGGACACTGGCATTGGTAGAGAGGCCTTTTAGTTTGCAATGCCATTAAATGAGCACTAATTCTTCCACAAAGGCAGAGACAGAGGATGTGGATTCCCATATGGCAAAATATGTTGATAAAAAGATGGCTCTTTCATACTTGCAACTAAAATTAGAATGCATTGTAAGGCAACCCTTCCATTTAATCCTTAACAGTAAATCCATTTCATTCAGATATTCAGACCGGGAAAGAGTACGATTCAAACATATGTAGAGGTCAAAGTGACCTAACAGGTAGTGTGCACTCAAGTAAAATCAACCACTCTGGAAAGAGAAAGGAAGAGAGAGCAGAGGGGGAACATTTGATTGTGTAAATGTAGTCATGAAGTGCAGGATGGTTTTTCTTCAGAAAGAAAGTCCTGTCTTCCAAGATTCATGCATTACCTATATTGGTTTTAGTGGATTAGAGGATAATATGCAAAAACCTTGTTTCCCCTAGCCTCTCGACTTTGTCACTTTTCATGCTCCGTTACCGCTCAAAGGGACGTGTCAGGTCCCATCATGAGAAACACATGTTGGCTGACACAAATAGAAAACACCGCCATGAGAGAGGGACTGCTCGTGGTCAATTCACATCACCTCATTTTCAAATCACCGTCCCTGGACAGATCACTGGGAGAGAAATCCTCTTCTGTGATGCAACCCCGGAAAAGACTTGGGCTTAAATTATTATCTCTCTCTTTGCTCAATTAGAGCGAGTCTTTTAGATGATTACATTAGATAAAACCCAAATGATTTGTCCTGGAAAACTGGAATGTTGCCACCTTTCCCGCTGGCATCTTTTGGTGAGACACTCAAAATGAATAGATGAAATTGGATTTCCACAGCACACAAACTGCAAATTGCCAAAGAAAAAGTATTTTACAGAATCACTGTCAGAAGAGCAAATTCTCCTCTGCAGCAGATTCATTATTTGATTATTTGCCTTTCCGGTGCTTCTCGGTGAACTTTCCCTTTGTGAATAATTGGACAGCTTTCTCCAGTGGATAGAAGCGTGTTTTTCCTAATGCATGCTTGACTTTCACAAACAAAATTTTAATAATCAAAGTCACTCTCGCTGCTTAAGTGAGTGCGATCGCTGGGACTGCAGAGCCCAGGGCTAGACTACCACCTGACCTCAGTCTTGTTGCTGAGGTGTCCTTCTGGTTTATAGTGCAGTGATATAACCTGTTATAAAAACACCTCTAATAGAAGTGAGAGCCTGGCCTTTCATTTTACAAA